ATTTACATAATGCGCCCAACAATTGTTACTTTTTTCAGATTCGTCATTTATTTTTAAAGAAAGTGGGAACATTTACAAGGTAGATGCTGCTGACGGCCAAAAATACTTGTTTTTGGATAAGAATATTTTCGTAAGATCCCTTCATTGATGTTTCTACATCATCGTCATGCATTTAATTTTAGACCGATTACCCTTCGAGCACACTAACGTTTTCTAACGATTTAAAATTTGTCTTAATAAAGCACAACATTAAACGAGTAAGGTGAGTAGTTTGAAATTGATTACTTTTACCCGAAGTGATTTTAGGTGTTTAGACGTTCCGATACCGCTCAGTATACAGTTTACGATATCGACGAACAGTGAGTTACTGACCTATAAAGGTAACGTACCGTAAGTTGTATTTTGCAGGCAGTATCATCATCTCCACAATGGAGAAGCCTTACAGTACGTTGTTTGGGATCGCCAAGGAAAAAGTTTGGCCTATGTGTATCTTAATAACATCTACTATGCAGAGACAGTCGGTGGTATAGCAACTCCAAGGCAAATAACAAGCGATGGTGTACCTGGTATAATATACAACGGCGTTCCCGATTGGGTATACGAAGGTAAATATTGATTACTCATCACCATGTGTGCAGTGTTTTTTTGTAGAAGAAGTACTATCCTCCGGTTCTGCACTTTGGTTTTCTCCAAATGGAAAAGGTTTAGTGTTTATTCAGTTCGATGACAGAAAAGTAAATGACTTTCACTATTTCATTTATGGAAACTCAACCGTGCAGTATCCAACTGTGGCCACCATAAAGTATCCCAAGGTACCTATTTAAAAACTAGTTGAGAAGTATCACACCAATTTTTAAGTATCCCACCAATTTTTATTTATATTTAGTCAGGAATGACCAACCCGACTATCGACGTAAAATACGTAAACTTGAAAAATAAAGAAAGCGAAGAAACTAATATTTCATACGTAGACTATGTATCCAAAGACCAGATTCTAAAAGATGTTATGTGGGCTACAAACATAGATGTTGTTATGGTGTCGTTAAATCGTGTACAGAATACTGCGGTTTTGCTTAGTTGTAGAGTCACTACCAACAAATGTAACGCAGTAAGTAAGCAGATACAGTCAAGGAATCAATATGTAATGTAATAATTCTAGTTTTACATGAAAAAACTCCGTCACGGATGGATAGATTTAAAGATACCTATTTACAATAGCGACGGATCAAAATTTCTGCTACTACTTTCTGAGCCTGAAGGAAAAGACACCTACAGACATTTATCTTTGGTTGAAAACCACAATATCTCAAAACGCAAAAGACTTACATTTGGTAAACGAGTTGTTATCAGTGTGTATGGATGGGATGAAGCTAGGAGTTTAGTGTAAGTGGTCTTTTGTTGTTTTGATTCCTCCAACAGTGCCCATTTAGATATTACGCTGGTACCATCGAAGGTGACCATGGCCAACAACACGTTTACGTTGTTGATATCAAAACAGGTACTGATCGTTGCCTCACTTGTGACGTCGCCACACCAGAAGGTCCCTGCGAATTTGCAAGCGGTTCATTTAGTGCAAAATTCTCCTATTATGCGCAAACGTGTGGCGGACCTGGACCAAAAATTGTACAGGTCAAAAGTCTGACGGTGAGTTGATCTTAATGACGACAAAGCCTTAAAACCACTAAACACAGTCATCTGCGTCGTTCGTATGGGAGGACAATGCCGATTTACGCAAACGCCTTTCTAAAAAATATAGGCCGATTATTAAACGAGTTCATGTGCCACTCTCCAGCGGTTACAGGGCTTACGTTCGCTTACGGCTACCGCCGACCCTAGACGAAGGCGACTATAAAAAGTATCCCATGGTTGTAAAGGTGTAAGTATACAGTCTGTTTCAAATTGAGTCGGCACTCACTTTCTTAGGTTAGAAATTCTGTTAAATTATCAAAAGTGTATGTATGTTTTTCTACCGAATCTGTAATTAAAAACATCGCATTTTTGAAATAATAACAAACATGCGACTTTTTTATATGGAACACCCTGTGTATTATTATATCATATGCCACCTTATTAAATTCTCTAGAAAACTTCTTAATGCACCATAGCCAAGTTCTTTCAATTATTTTCATTTCGATCTGGATATCCATGAAAAGGGTAAAAAAAATACATAATAGCATTTAAAACAATAACTGAAACTAGTACTTACTTATCATATTAGCATTGTTTAGATGAATAAAGATATTAGATTGTTAACAAAACAAGTATAAAACGTGAAATAAGTAGGTACCTAATACATATAAAAATAATTTACAAGTTACAAATATACCTACCTCTATTAAAGAAGGTGTTAAAAAACGTTTCTATTTTTTTCAGTATAGGGCGCGTAAAAAGCATATTTTCTAGGAAATGTAATAAACTTCAAAGTTAGCTGTCAGATACTTTACAACACACAAGGTGAATTTTACCATTTTCATGGATCACTAGATCAAAATGAAAGTAATTGAAGAATCTTGGTTATTTGAAGTATTTTGGCTATGGCGCATAAAAAACTTTTGTAGAGGATTTAATAATCTTCATACAAAAAGTTACATTTTTGTTAATATCTGAAAAATGCAATGTTTTTTTTTTTTTACAAATTTGGATACAGTAGGCAAAAATACACAATTTTGGTAATTTAATCGTCTTCCCAACTCTACAAATAAGAAAGTTAACAGATGCCGACATAATGCCGATAGAGACCATTGCACTGGTTCCATGTTTTATCGCCCGTGACAATTCATGAGAAGTACTCGTCATCCCTAGTTTATCGGTTAGTTTCAAAATTCAAACTACTATTTAAATTTAATTTTCCAAAAGTTAAACTTTCGCAAACAACGGCTAGCTCATGATATTAATTTTTAGTGCAATTGCCTTTGAGTTGAACTTTTCTGTATAATTGAAAAAAATAATTAACTCGTCGTGCTCCTGCAGACTTCCCATAATAGTAATAAAGTGAAATAATTACGTATATTAAAATAAAAAAAGAAAACAAAATCGGCTTCCGTCTACATCCGTCCTAATTTAGACTTTACTTCAAATTCCCGTACCAAAATCATACGTTTCCCACTTAAATCGTTTAAGGAGTCTCTATTGAACTGACAAGAAATTACTTTTTTAAACGCCCTTAAAAGAGAACTGTAGCGAAATCCCTGGAGCGTGAAGCTCAAGTATCGACTGTTGAGCTAAAATTGGCTCTAAAATGTTGAGAAAGAAATTTCATGAAAAATCTTGGACCTTGTAAAGGTCTTTCTGAATTTCACGCGATTGCACAAAATTACACAATCCCCCGGCAAACAAAATATCATTTAAAAGTGTTATCTGCAGGCGGTCGACGGAATTATATGGTGCAATCTATTTTTCTATGTTCAGGGTTAAAGAGTTAGGGTGCGCGCAAATTTCATTTTCATGACCAGCTAGATATTTAGAAAGCCTCTTCGTAATGCGATACGTAATTTCAATGTGCTTCGTTTTTAGCTACGGAGGACCAAATTCAAACGAAATTTCGAACGCATACTCAGCTGGTGAAGAAAATTACTTTGTGACCAACCGTCAATACATCTACGCCTCCATTGACGGAAGAGGTTCTGGAAAGAATGGGGATAACTTGATGTTCGAAGTATATCGAAGACTGGGTACGGTTGAGATGGAAGACCAAATTGAGGTGACCAAGTACGATCACTACCATCAAACCAAATTTACCTATTCATTATGGCCTTGCTTGGGTTTCAGATATTTACATAAGCACTATAAATATATAGATGCGAATAGAACAGGAATTTGGGGTTGGAGCTATGGTGGTTTCGCAACCCTTTCGATCTTAGCAAAGGATACAGAAAATGTATTTAAATGGGGGCTAGCTGTTGCGGCTGTAACCAGTTTTAGGCTTTACGGTACGTTTTGCGTTTTATTTCGCACGTATAATTGACGTTTCAGATACCATTTACACCGAAAGGTATATGGGATTACCGACCAAAGAAGATAATGAACAAGGCTACAACAACACCGATCTCACAAGGTCGGTTGAAGCATTCCGAAATAAATTGTTTTTCATAGTTCACGGTAACGCAGACGACAATGTCCACTACCAGCAATCGATGATACTATCAAGGGCGTTGGAGAAAGCCGATATTATGTTCCTTCAGCAGGTAACAACTATAGAGACACTAGATCCAAAGTACTAAAACAATTTTTAGAGTTATCCGGATGAAGGTCATTTGATTGGATCTGTGCGCCCTCATCTATACCATACCATCGATAGATTTTTTGATCGCGGTTTTCATTCAGGAATTAGTGGGAATAAAGCACCTAACTTGAGTAGAAGGAGGAGGACACGTTTTTGACAAATAAACTGTTTTTAGGCGACTCGATTGATTGTGGATCTTACATAGGGTCAAGATTACCCTTCATTAATTAAAATTCATATGTGTATGCTTCTATCACATAAAGAGAGCGCATGCGTATTCTCTTGCAGTCTTACATTCGATGGCTACACCACGTGCTGCTGCTACGCTGCGTCCTTCTCATCCACACGGAATAATACACATGCTCCTCTCTCACGCGCTACCTAAAATTGCGACAACAGTACTGTTCCGTGTAAGAAAACGACGCAGTATAACAGCTGCTCGATGTGATAGAAACAGACAAAAATTATATTAATTACATTAATTTTAATTAAGGATAGTCTTGACTTAATCTTTTAGGAAACCCATTTGCAATGCGTTTGTTTACATATTAAGATTGCTTAAAACTGCATTTCATACGGTAAACAGATGGGCGACGGTTGACCTTATGTGAGATCTTATACTATGTGTTGCATTATCCCGTAATCTGACCCTTTCCATTTTTTAAATTATGTGTTCCAAGTTTGTCTGGCCCTTCTAGTGCTGCAGTAATGTTGCTTGCAGAAAACATAATACCTACTCGTATTAAGGTTGGGTGATTTCATAACCAAAAGAATGGAATGAACCAGGACTGAATAACGTTTTAATAAGAACAATTCGTGTAACATTGGCAAATTGTAACAGCTACGCTTGGTCGCCTCTTGTGTTTTTGTTACCAATATCTGTATTTATGTTATCTTTTTAACATCTAACCAGATTGGATCCCGTGTATTTGTAATCAAAGCGTATTTATTAAAAACAAGAGGTTTGGTTTTAGGGCTGAGAGAAAATGAAAAATCTCTCATGAGACACGTCAAACCGACTTTAACTTGCATCATACCAAATCGCATACCTGTGTGAAAAAAGGTTAAAGAATTCCGGTTTCAGGCACTTGACCACCTACCTATGCAATTTCGAGGGCCTTGTCCGAACGGCATGAATACAAACGGATTACTGTTGTGTATATTTTCTGTAGAGAATCGTTCGGGATCAAATAGGTCAGGATCTTTGAAATATGACGGATCTTTATGTAAGCCTAAGGTGGGCAGTAACACTAGCGTGTTCTTCTCGATTATTACGTTAGTACCTGGTACATGATAGTCCTTGACACATTCGCGTGTTACAGCTGCTAGCGTTGGGTATATCCTCATTGTTTCTGAAATAAAATTACTGCAAGACAACTGGCAAGTCGACTACTTACCATATATAACTTGGTCCAGGTACTTCATATCCGCAAGAGATTCATAGCTAATTTGGCCACGATGCTTTTGTAAAACTTTTACGATTTCGTCTCGAACTTTACGTTGAATTTCTATATTTTTTGCCAGTTCGTACAAACAGAACGTTGAAACTGAGGAGGATGTTTCAAATCCCGCGATAAAGAATACGAAACATTGTGCTGCCATCTCCTCGACGGACAATCGATGTCCTTCCTTATCTTTTTTTTGCAATTCAATTAAAATTTGCAACATATCGTTTCTCTGAATGTCACCGTGCTTCCGGTACTTGATCGTTTCTTTAACAACGTTTAAGAAAAAATTGGTTGTTTCTTTAGGGAATAGAGATTGTCTCAGCGTTCTGGCTATAGCTGGAGAACATGTGGTAAGTGCTCTGGTTAATATGTACGATGCTCTATTTGTCTCAAATATTTTTCGGCCGTAGTAACGAAACGGGGCGTCCTCATCTTTAAAACTATTACAATCCAAACCAAAAGCGCAAGAACCGATGACGTCTGTAGTAAATCGTGATACAACTTCTTTTATCATTACTGGTGTTTCGTCGAGACAATGTCTGGTTACAACTTCTTGCATTGGTGTAGTACACTGAAGTAAGGTGTCAAACATCATCTTCATTTTCCCCGAGGTAAATGTCGGCGTTAATTTCGTACGCATCTCTCTCCACATTTGACCACCAAGGTTAAATAGATGTGCGCTTAACGGATCGTATTTTTGATTACTGTAAGTTCCGCGGTTGACAAAGTATTGGAAATCATTTTGCAGAACATTCTTGATGAAGTCGGTTGCTATTGGAAAGTAAACTGGTCTTAAACCAATGTATAGTCCGGCATGTTTCAGATCACGACGCTTGAACTCATCGTAACATATTTTTAACCACACTCCTATTGGATATGCTCTGTCATAGTTACCAAATGGAAATGTAGGCGACATGTAGGAAACGTTTCTTCTTTTCCAATAGGTATATCGCCATCGAATGAAAACAGTTCCAAGGAATGCAACGAGTACAATGAAGGAACACACCTCGAAGAACATGTTTTTTCACAATAACGTAATCGCGCTATGGATAATGTGGTTTTAAAATTTCCTCGTGTATCAACTCTAAAATACACAAAATAAAAAACATTTACTTATTCGTTACTGAATTATGATCGTACTTTGCTTTTATTTATTCATTATCTTCTTATCAACATAAATACTAGGTGATAAGCATTGTGCAACTTGACCAGAACGTTAACACTTAGGTTTATTTATAGAAAACACAAAACAAAAGAATAGTATATTGAAAGACAAGTGTTACAATGCGACCTATTGTAATACGACTATCTTGTGGCACGAGTGTTTTCATACTATTTTTTCTATTTCGGTGCTTTAATTTAATTAAAAAAATCATTATCATATCAGAAACTAGAGGGAACATTAGAACTAACATGCTTTATGTTGGGAACACTTTTTATGCCGTTAAGTTTTAGGTTGGCAGCGTAGTAAGACTGACATTTTGAAGTTCAAACATGGAAGTACCCAACGAAGTACCTACTTGTACTAATTAGTAACTGCCAACTTAAAAGATTAGTTACCAAAAAAAAACGACTATAATCGCTGTCTTTGTACAACTGTTTTCGGCCGAAAACAGTTGTACAAAATCATCATTATTGTGACACCGAAATAGAAAAAGTATATTTAAAACTTCACTCTGTTACGAATAATGTGCTTCCCGTTGCCACGTGAAGCGTTAGATACCCGTTTGGTGCATATAGGTAGTTTAGATAAGTTAGAATTTTATATTTTTGGTAAACAATCCATCATTTAGGTTCGCGGTATAAAAAGGTCGTTGCGAAGATACTGCATGTCTTGAAGAGTGTGTTTTCGTTTCTAAAAAGACGTAACCTTTCATTTGTACTCTTATTTAATATCCCTACGCCATCTAAGTAGGTAATTACCTTGTAATCCGCTAGTTTGGATGTAAGTAGTTCATGTAGTGAATTTGTTATAGATTTCTTATTACAATAGTTCTTTGTTTTGCCGTTAAAGCCTGTCCGAGTGTTAGAGATTTATTTTACATACTTCTTTGTCTTGTTAAAATTCACGTTTTGTATTTCTGCACTTAATTCTATCTCCTCTTTAATTAAGGACGCCATTACTTTTACTGACTATTGTCTTACCGTAAGGGATTTATTGTTTTAGCTTGAACATATATTTTTGGAGTGGTTTCTCTCTTTCTTTTGATGTCTGTAGCTGTGGCTCCATTGAATCGTTTTTAGGGATCTGTATTTGCATATAGGTAATCCGTACGAAGTATGTTATGTATCTAATTATTACGAAAGAATTATTTTCTTAATACGTATATTTTTAATAGCGTTATCCAATAAATACAGACAACTCAATGCTCAAGCAAAACAAAACAGCAAGGATAAAAGAAATGAGTTTACGGTAATGATTGAATTAATACGGTATTTAAAACTCATTATGCAAAACATCTTAATACGTTACGGTATAGTAAAAGCAAATTCAAACTATCGGTACTTAAACAAAACTTGACGGCGAAAAATAAGAAAGATATAACCATTGAATATCCAACTCCTCAGAATGCTTATATGAGCGGCAGACTTTGGAGTATGTCGCCGGCCGTTATTTTCCAGAGGGCGCCGCGGAACGTGCCGTTTTAATGTATGCCAAACGTTGCCGCTAGATGGCACCCTGCGGATTTAGATATTTCAATAATAGCGAAATTTTAATCACAACAGTTACCGCGATCCACTAACAGGGGGCGCTTTTGAGGAACTGTGATTACAGACGGTGTTGTTAGAGCATAATTGCGCTAAATGTGCACTGCACATCATAATACTAATATTAAAAAGGATTGCATTTTATCATTAAGGGTGTATTCCACTTAAATTTTAATTCTATTTGACGTATGTTGGGTTGGCTAATACTTAATTGCAACGAAATGGTAACGAGTAGACAAAGATCGAAGAATGTACCTGCCCAACCATTGTATAAAGTAAACAAGTAATTAGGCTAATTTATTAGTCATTGTGATGAAAATGCAGATAATTACACATCGATTAGAAGACGCAGATATAATTTTATCATCATATTATACAGCTATTCCTCAATAATTTCACTTTTCCCAGTCTGTTGATACCGATGTCCAAACGGCCAAAAAAAAAGGAAAAATTTCGAAAGGCCTAGACGCGGAAGTCGCGGCACCCCCCCGCGGGGGCGGACCGGTACCGGAACACGGGGGCTGGAGAGAGGGCTAAATTGCTCGAAAACGTGACGTCTTTTCTCTATCGGAATTCGGAACGCATCCGATGTAAAGCCCGGAAGGTCCCGAGCCTAACGTACGGGGTCGTTACCCCGACATAACTTTCGTTTGGGGGTGAGGCTGAGGGGGAGGGTGCAAAGTTGAGCATCGCCGACGTCGCTCCGCTTTATCCTTCGCGACGCGAATACCCGACGACCTAATAAAAACTTTCTAAGGCTCCCAACTTACGGCGTACCGTACGACCCCCTTCGTCGAAGGGGTCGAGAGGGGTGAATTTTGAAAGAAAGTCGGACCGATTCGAGACATAGAATAATCGCCCGTAAAAAATATTTACGGCGGCCGGGCGGCCTCGGGGAGGGTGAGTTTTTAGGAAGTCTACAAAGTCTTTCCCCCGACGTCCTTTTCACACCCACGCACTCCTCCATTAACCCCCCTGGACCGTTAAACTTTTTCGTCGTTTTGGAGTTTATTCGGAAACTACGAGGGTTAGAATTATTGCATACTTTTTTCATATTTTGGCGTTTATTGGGGAACGTGGAAAGTTAGAACGATGCGGTTTTTGGCGTTGGTCTTCCATATTGCACGTCCACTTTCTAAAATCGAGGCCATTTCGGTACATGTGTGAGGCGAGACGGCGCAGTCGCAAAAAGTAACTTTCTTATTTACGCAGCATTTTGTACGAAATTTTGGTGTTAGGTTTCTCTTAACAAAAGTGAATAAAATGCACTTTTTAAAAATCGTACTGCGCATGCGCAAAACGCAACTTTCTTATTTATGGCCATGATACAATAAATTTGTATCATGATTTATGGCGCGATTTGTACGAAATTTTGGTGTTAGGTTTCTCTAACAAAAGCAAATAAAATGCCCTTTTCAAAAATCGTACAGCGGTTATCGGAAAGATATAACTAGGACATCGGACTTCCCTTTTTAAGCGCGCTCGTTTTGAGATAACTTTTAACGCCGCCTGACGGTTTTTTCTACAACTCATTAAAACGGCATTCATTAACCATGCTTACCCAATTAGGCACATTCAAACTTCAATACGCATTAATCCAATCAATGCCTAGCCTAATCGGAATTTTCCGACGCAACAACTGTTGTGGTTGTTTACATCCCGGCATGTCTGCAAGATGTGAAAACAACTCGATTTGGAACTCGTTTCTATCCTGGTTTTCGCTTATTATGGCAATCTAAAGTATGGTTAATAATTAATTAATGGCGTTGAAATCTTTAAATATTAGTTGACTCCCTTCTTCCCTGGCAAAGAGCCAACGCGCCCTGTTGAGCTGACAAGGTTGTGACCCGAAGTTCAAAGGTAAATTTTTTAGTTTATTTTTTATTTCATCTACTTGCACCGAGAGGAAGTGTAAAATATTTCGATTTGTTGCATAATGTATTGGAGGAAGACCAGTTATTTGACAAACCGACAAATAAATTTGGCAATCGTCCTTATAAAGTTCTTGAAGAAGGTTCAAACAGTGTTTCCGCCGTTATCTTTACCGTGGAGGGTGTATCCTGCTACAATGCGAAAGGAATGTTTTCGCCACCTGCGGTAATTATCAAAGAAAACAGTATCAAAAGAGAACTTGAAGAGAATTTACCTCCCACCCGGAAGTGAATTTGTTTTATCGCCCAAGCCGGCGTATATAATTCACTTCCATAAAACCAGAAGGTTCTCCTACTCCAAGAACTTCAGGTGCTACCAGAGACTTGCTATAACTATTATAGACTGCGCTTAACGTATCTAAGGTGTTGTCGACACAGTATGCAACACACAACGCACCGCGGGGCAAAAATCGCTGAGATGATATGCAATATAATGAAATAAGCTGTTATTGTAGACATTCCGTTCATTAATCATTCTGGTGATTAGCTCGAATTAGTGAACAGATAAATTTCTGTTGAGAATAAACCAATAAACTTAGGTTAACTTGTGCCTATCAACATGTACTCTGTCGATAAATTTTTTAATAATATGCTGATTTTCAACGGATAAAAGTTTAAAGGGCCAATGGATCAGAGCCATTCGAAGAGAAAAATTTACTCCCGCCATAGTGCATTTGCGGGGAATGAAGCCGATTTTAGAAAGGTACCGACGAAGGTGTTAAACAATAATGCAATGCCGAGCGTTTTCGACTTTCCCATTCACTTAAAATAACGTAGAACTATTATTCGACATCCTTTACCAGCAAGATAAGGGCAGTACCTATTTGCCTATTAGGTATAGACGTAACTAAGTTCTTACTGGTACTAAGTATATTTCAGGTTTTGTTACAAGAAAAATAGCTAAGTCTGTTAAATGTTCCATCAGAGAGTCATTCAAAGCTTTTAACTAGAAAAAATCGTGGAGCATTGTTGCACGTATCAAGCGATACATTAAAAATTTGCCAAATTGCTGAAAATGTGTTCATGTTTTACATTCAATCCACTCCACACCGCGTTGTAACAAAAGGTTACCAGCAGTCTAAGAAAAATAAATAACAGTTACAGCCCATTTGGGTCTTTGGATAGGCATATATTGAATCAAAATACGCTAAATAATCATATCTTACTACTTACATCTTTAATTTTAAGAGTATATTTTCCCATACGTGTTCTCCACCAAAATACACATATGTATAAATCAAATTAGGACTAGAGTAAGGCAGTTATATACCAATTTAGTTCAAATAAAATACCAATAAATTCGATTAAAACAGTTAATAGCTATATGTTATCTTTTTTTGCTACTAAAATTTAGAATAAACATGGGTAAAGCAAGCTGCAGAACGTACGTCTGTCCCGCGATGAACAGTTGGTTGCCTAACCTATCTTGACAACAGGCGTTTATAGTAAAATCTACGTTACGCGCGGTCTAGTTATAACAAGTCTCTGGGTGCTACTGATACAAAAAAAAGTGCTGGCTGTTCATCAAATTTTCGTCCAAAAAATATAGACATTTGTTTTATCTGTCAAAAATTTGGAAGAAATGGTAAAATCTGGTATCTGCGAAAAATGAGTCGTCTATGACGTTAGCCGGACCCAAATACAAATACAAACTTTTGAGTATGTTAAACGTTTGTTTATGTTTGTTTCGCTATTTTGCACGTTTGTTTACCATTTGGTGTATGGTTTTTCAATATTCCGTTTGGGTCGGGCCAGTTTCACGGTAGCCAAACCACGATAAAAGAAATGGTATGGTAATATGTTAGTGTTAAACGTTTGTGTATCGTTTGTTTACCATTTGGTGAGCTATTTTTTTAATATTCAATTACTAGGCCAGTCATTGGGGATTTTTACCTGGAAATAAGTCCGGAACTTTGGAAACATTGTAGGTTTATAGGTTTTGGGATCTAGAACTAAAATTCGCAAAAAGCACAATCCGAGACATGCCGCCGGCGCCGCCATCTTGCGAAAAATAACGCCCAAAAACGGTTTTTTGCAAATATCTCCAAAGCTATGCATTTTTCGAAAAAGTGTGTAGAGCGCAAAATTAAAGAGGAGGAGTTTCCTATAACATATGTTCCTAGTAAATGTTTATCACGAAATAATGGCATATCTTTTATTCAATCAATCGATTAATTCATTAGTTAATCCATGTTAGTAATTTATGATCAATTAATTTCGATTTAAAATGCTATACTTGTTTCCACATCACCCAAGTATACGGCGCTTTTTTTTAACGTGGTTTCCCCTGTAGGCCTAATCCACTTAGGTACTAAAATTATTACTCTGAGGAGTATTTCTTATTGCCATACTTTTTACGACACGTTTCGTGAACGGTTACTGAATCACGGTTTCTTAAATAGGTTATTGTCCCGTCTTTTCTCTTCAAACTTGATCGTTTAAAAGTATTCAAACCCCGTTCATTCACCATCACAGTTTTACCCTCCGAAAGGCTTTCGTCACAAACAAAACACTTTTCCATCGAAGCCATAATAAAAGAAATAGCACAATCAATTTATTACACTTGCACTTGCAGTATTGTCAAGTAAAATCAACACGTAAACGCCAAATACTTTGCGAATCGTAACATTTTTCGAATTATTACCAAGCACGCTAATTACCGAATCAGTACATATGTTAAACGACACGACAAACGATCTGGTTCGAGGGGCCTTGTAGAGAGATGACGGCTAAATAACCAGCGCCCTCTGGTGGCGCTTTATTGCAGGTGTGCACATCGACATCTGCACTTATGCTAGGAATGTGCCGGTTAGTCAGTAAATTATAAATATAACGAGAAACCAATTGAATAGCCCGTTTTACTATAAAAGATAAATTTATACGCATAGGTGTATGGAGATAGGGGCAGTTTATAGAAATTAACAGAATATGTGGTCATTTAATCAGCTCTTGAGCCTAGACGGCTCACTTTAGCAAAAATATGCTTTATTTTTGATCCCCAATGACTGTCCTATACAGTCGGGTGCACCGGTCCGTAGGCCAAAAAGACCGTACACAAAACACCTAAACAAACCTGGCTAGCTCAAACCTTTATCTTTCTCGGAACAAAACTTCTCCCCAGCACAGAGGAGGAATTCGACTCTTTTCTCAGTTAAACTATTAACTTCTGCCAGATAGTGGGTTAGACCAAATACCTTAAATTCCATTATTTGAACTTAGGAATTTTGAATAAATAAAATGGACCTTGGGCAAGCATCCAAAGAAAACAGTAAATTAAAGGAAATGAAATCGTTCGAATGACATACACAGAAATTAAAGTGAGAATTACGCTAGTATTATGGGCACTTCCCTTCTACAATACCTTTAGATAGATACATTGGTGGGTACATGTACAGTTAAAATACTTGTATGGACCCTGTATGCTTCCGTATGGAGTTAAATGTCACATCATCTCAATCAGATGGCGTTTTCAACAGCGTGGTGGTGCATTCAAACTTTATAATCGCATTATGTTTCCACTTTGACAATTTTTACCCTAAAGCGGATACCGCAGACGTCTATTACACGGGCTACCTTTAGTTACAAACTTGGCGTAGGTACACGAAATTAGCCAGTTTGTGTTATATATCTTCTGATTACATCCCCGTCGACATTATCACGTTTGTTGGTAAATATTATACGAACCACTTTTCCCTTCCCTCGGAAAATAAAAAAAAATTTACATAACACGTTTGTGTGATTAAATCATATCTGTATTTTACATTAGTCCCTGACAACGCAAAGCTGGAACACCCTCCAATTTCGTAAAAGCAATTCTACCGCCGGGACGTAAACAAATATTCGGGAGGAAGATTTGATTAATAAATATCAACAACACAACAACCCCTCGCCCCTCGGTATTTCCGAAGGTATTTTTATAAATTTACATTTGGGGTTAATGCAGAGTGCAACACGCAATTAAAGCCTGACGTGACGGAGAGAATCTCGTCTAGAAGTCGCATTGGTGTCTTCGGTGAGCTGATAGTACTCGTGCTTCGTTATCAGCAAACAGTTGCGAAATTTTCCGCAAGGGGCGCTGCTGTGCTAGCGGCCCGGCGAAAACTGCTGCAGTGGTCCGCTTGAATTAGAGCAAGATGCACCGCGTGAAAATCGCAGTCGTCGGAAAAACTTTTCTTACAGTGTTAGTGCAGGCCACAGCTCGTTATGCCTAACCGCGCTTATTCAAGGCGTTTTTATCTGTGTTTCTTGTTGCCCTAATCCTTGATGTTTACGTGCTTCATACTGGATAGTGATAAAGGTAAAGGACTTGTGGAATGTTTTCTTACTTACTTCAGTATGTAGAGCTGCTGGTAATTGATTGATCAAATGCTAATTTCATTGTAAGTTATTTGGTCGCAAAATGAAAAAGCCAAAAGTAGAACGCGCGATGTTGCTTACAGTAAAAGCGCAAATGAGGAAAACTATGAATAAAAAAACCTTTCAAGGATGCTAGCAGAAAAACAAGCTCCCATAAAAGAAACGTTGATTATAAAAGCTCGGTTCGCCATTTTTCTGCAATGTTTCCCTGTTTTTTCCTAATTAACAGTCACTTGGGATCATTCGTTCAATTGAATAGCGAGTGATGGTTTACATTACGTGGGCGACCAATTTCAAAGTTTCAAAATGATTTTGAACACGTAATTACACAAAGTAATAGTCGAGTTTCCACCCTGTTCAAGGGTTTCCGTTGTAATGAACGAAATTCGCTACTGCTAAAGAACTAGAAAAAAAGTTATGTAATCGTCGTCAAGCGCATTACAATACGTGTGCCTTAATTTTTGACGTTCCGCAATGAATTAATGCGATACTGACGTGGGAATTGCTGTAGTAATAGGCTTGGCTTAAACTTTCATGTTTTATGTGAAATCCGGCTTAGAGAACATTTCTCTAAATGATACTACAAACGCCAAACAACTTCGGAATAGTAAATAAATTCTGAGCTAACCCAGATACATTATAGTTATTGATCAATTTTGATAGCGTCTAAAAGTTGTGTTGCTCAAAAATTAGGAGAACGCCGCTTTATACAAAAGAGGCGGTCTTCATCAGTCAATATCACCCTGCGGGTAAACATCCTCGTTTTATCATAATTATTTCACAGGGTGCTCGGATACCTCTAGAACCGAGTCTAGAACCTTCGTTTTCCTCGCCGTTTACATTAAAAATGAAGACATTCTACATGCAATTCAAAATTGTTATAATGAACTTATAAGCGTCCTTTGTTGCATTCTATCTTGCTTTATAAAGCTAAAAACAAATAATACAGGGTACTTTCTGGAAGCTTTCTTTTGCGAACATGTGTATCCAAGGTTCAATCGATTTGTTCCAAAAAGTAAATAACAACTTTGTTGTTTTAAACGGTACTGCCTTAACTGCCCAAATATTTTCCATGTAAACTCAAAAAAGCCTCTACGCGCTTTTGATGTAAAGCGATGCACGTAGAAAGATTCTAAAAACTAACTGACGAGAATGAAATAGAAACTTTAAACTACGAAACACTAACAAGCATTCAGATAAAGGAAACATACAGTGTGGGTCTTTGCAAAATTTCTTTACAAAGCAGGGGGAATCCAAACATCACACATCCACAATAACAAACAATACAAAACAAAAAGGATCACACTGTAGATACCATATAGGACACGAACACATCAACACACTACAAGAACAGACCATACAACCAGAAACAGGAGGTTTTTTAAATTGCGATTCAAAACCAAGTGATAACACCATGCAATTACAGGAAGCATATATATACTAGAAGAAAAGTGGAAAGCGACATATGGAGAAAAAGAAAAAGAAATAATAAACCACATCGCCAGTTGTTGTAAAATACTAGCAGAAAAGTAATGTACAAACAGAGACAACCTTGTAACAGGCATAATACACCACAGGCAATGGTACACAAATACAACATCAATTCTGACAAACAACCCTACAAAACATACACGCCGACAACAGTCATAGAAAACCGATACATCAAAATAATACTGGGACCGAACCATACTGACTGACAAAACAATTATACCCAATTGCCCAAGCATCACCTACGCAGACAAGCTAATAATATTAGAAACTTGATTAGCTAATGTTAACAAATGATAAAGAAGCAGCATTGGATAGTTAAAGAAAGAGAAGAGTTGTTAAATAGCCGTAGCAGACGTTAAACTGGGCATTTTGGTCAAAGACAGTCAGTATTGGTGGTTGTAAAGTTTTTGTAGTAGAAAGTCTGTATAGTGTTCTAAGAAATTTTATTTCGTTTTATAAAAGTGAATAGTTCTAGTTCGAGCTAAGCTCAAGTGTTGTGTTACGTGTACAGAGAAGTAGTTTGAGTGTTGTCTATCGAGCAGTAATCGCGTAAGTGTGGCCTTTCTTTAAGTTTGTTCCAAGCACCAGATAAAGTGAAGTTATCCACCAGCAAAAAGCCACTTTTACATAATAGCCAGCTTTGTTTAAATGAAGAATCGAGCGAAAGTAAAGAAACGAAGATTCAGAAGCATCATCAGTTGGTCGAGCAGTTGGTGTTTGTGTTTTTTGTTCTGCGCCAGTTAAAGAAAATCGCAGGAACTCTTTGATCTAATTAGAAGTTTCTTTTAAATATAATTTGTTCCAATCATTCGCATGTGGTACTTGAATGATTTTGTTTCTTACAGCTTTGTTGATTGATTTTTGTCGAATAAATTTGTGTCTTGTGTAAATGATCAGCTTTAATCGAGCCCAAAATTACGACCCAGGATATAAGGTTAGGTATTAATTAATAATAGGTTAGATAATTTCTCTGATTGTGGGGGAGGCGGTTAAGAGTGCTGATTTCGCGTGTTAATAAAATTTAAGTCTTCATCGAGATTTTCGTAGTGGCAGATGCCAGACGCCATTTGCGAAATTTTATAATGAAAACTTTTATATAAAAGATTGTGGTAAAGTTTTAACATTGAAAATGTTTAATTGTTTATGTTTTAGTATATCGGTACAAAGTGAGGAACAAAGTTACGAGTTTCGTTCACGGCCAAAAAACAAAGGTGTCGCATTAAGTGACGATTTCACCGTACTCGGCCGTAATCGGTAGGTAATGGAAAAATCACGGATACTGTCGGTACGGTACCTACAATTGTTTTGTTAATTCTAATCTAAAATTCTCGTACATCTCTTTTGATAGTATTACGAGCTTGTTACGACGCTTATTATTCGGAAAGGTGGGGACAAGATGCGGCCGGTGATTGTCAGCTCCAGGTAACTTGAATGGGGAAAGGAGGTGCCTGGAATTCTAAAGGGCAAGCGGTGGCGACTACTGAAGAATGCTAAAACAGACTTAAAGCGTACAGCAATTTCCATAAGCGGGAACAGTAAATAATTAGATTCGGTAGCGGTTTCTACGCGAAAGCAATTGCATGCAAGAGAGACAATATCCCCCTCACTATAATTAATGAAACTGAAAGTAGCAAAAATCTTATCTTGAAATGAACGGAACAGTAGGAATTACTGTGCAAGAAAAAGCAAAAGCTGTAATCACGGTTGCAGTAAACTTAATCTAACGCCTAACGGTACATCCGTCTCAATCGGAGGCTGTTGCTGTAACCCATTCAACTAGTTACGGTTAATTATACTTATCCAAATAGTCGGAATGAAATCTCCAAATTCGGCAGTCCTTTTATTCCTTGGAGTGTGAGGTCAAGCGGCATAATCTTTTGTCACGTTGACATTTAAACAGCAAGACCCTACCCTGCCGGTTTAATGCGGAAATTTTGTATACCATTAATAACTAAATTCGATTAACGGGTAATTAACGGATTTAAAACTTAATAAGATTGATTTTCTCTCTCTTCTTCCTGGGCAAGAGAGTTTCCGACCTTTTCTTTAACGGACGGCTCTACAAATTAACCCATTAATTTCTACCTTATATTTCCAACTTCTACACAGAAATAAAGATTTTCAGACCGACAATCTGCGTAACGAAGCGCCCAACTTAAAACGCTTCTTGATACCGGGTGTTTATCTACAGTTGGCAATTTGCGTTCAGATCCTAACTAACTACGTCCAGTGTTGAAGCCTCCGCCGCGAGTAATACCGCCAACACCGCCCATAGTCTACAATCATGACAAACAAATCTGGAGCAAGTTAAAAAACAAAGCGCAAACAAATCGAAAACAAATAGCGGACTAATTACAAAACAAATCGCTAGTAGAACGGTATAGTATATTCAATAACGGGTAAAGAATCGCTCTTGAGTTATGGTAACCACCATCATCACTGGTCTTCCAAAATACCTAAATAGAAGGATCCGATACCGTACTGACGTTCACAATGTTAATATTCGTGCTAAGGGGCTATTATCAATGCCGCTCTTCAAATACAAATCTAAGAAATTGTATCTTAGAACGTTTTCGTATAACATTGTTGTACTCTATAAATAGCCTCCTGCCCGAAATGAAACATCTTTCTAGTAAACACTTCAAAAATCGAATACGATCACTAATGCTCGAGTGTTGACATGTCCCAAGAATGTGTATGTAAGAAGGGGTCTGGACATGGGTCGCTTATTATCTCGATATTTGATGATTATATGTATATTTCTTTTCCATCGCATATAGTTCCTTGCGCAGACATATTTGAGGTTAAGTGGTAGAGCGGAGAAGAGCAATTGTTACCGAACTTCGCCTTTGAGAATAGCACAGTAGTAAATTTCAGGCACGTGTCTACACATCCACAATAGCCAAAGGAGCATTAATATTTATCTAATGTACCACATCGCAAAAAAAAATGTGCTAAACTCAATAAAGCAATATTATTATTATTAACTCGGTAAATATGACCTCAGGGTCGTGCGTCTTTTGGTTCGGCGGTGGCGCTCAGCAGATTAGAAGCTCTTGATGCGCAGGTCTTCTGGGTAACCATAAAACACCACACTTGTCGCACTTTGGTGGTATTTTAGTTAAATAATACACACTTGGTCAAATTTTAAGGTGGGACGTTAGGGAAATGGGTGGTCCAAAACAACCATTAATTAAAATTTTGACAGTGTGTCATTTAGAATCAGAGAGATTATGTAAATGAGAAGGGACTGCTAAATGAACGTTACAAGGAACATTGTCTGATAGTTACAACCGACATTCATAGAGGCGTTGCAAGCAGTTTCTCGTTTCTTTTAGTGAATTTAGCGCCCATCAGTGAGGGTTTTGGTTTTCATAACAACAGTTGGAAGCAAATTATTCCACTTCAATATTACAGAATATTCTGTTCTTAAAATAAAAATGAAGCCAG